GAGTGGCGCGGCGGCGCCCGGGCGCCGGGCCGGGGAAGGGCGGGGACTGGGACCGGCCGTGCTGCGCTCTCACCCGGGATCCGCACAACGCGCCGGCGGATCCGCAAGCCACGCGGGTCCCAGAGCATCGGGTAGCAGGGCCCTGGAGAGGAAAGTCTCTCCACCACGCCCCCTCCCCCAGTCCTTTGGCCCCAAGTAGCCTACGACAATGGGAAAATCGCCTACAGGACTTAGGAGGAAAAATCAGATTCACAGCACAAGTCAGATGTCGGGAGCCGGCCAGGGTACACTCGTAGCGCGCGGCTTCCAAAGCGGCGCCAGGGATCTGCTTCCCACGGGCAGCGCAGAAGCAGCCCTTACTGGAGAGCGACGTCTTTATGAAGGTGCCCAGCTCGCTCCAGGCTTAGGCTTTCAATTAATATTTTTAAAAATCAATAAAAGAAACCTGAATATTACTGGCCGGGGTTGGAAACTGGGTTGGTGTCCTAGGAGGAGCTGAATCCGGACTATTCCCTTCTGGACTTCGAACCTTTCTGGCGAGCAAATTTGTGAGAACTTTGATCTGGAAATAATACAATGGGCCATCATTTGCTCCCCGACAATCATTCTGCCCTATGTGGGGGGTGGAGGAGGGGAGAGAGACTAGCAAGAGTGGACAGGAGCCTTGGCTGACCTTGAGCAGCCTAAAGACCTCTGCACCTGCTGTCGGTCCCTCCTTACACTGGAGCCTCACAGCCTCCCCGCAAGACTCTGGAAAGTGCTTTCTACTGTGCGCTCCTGTAGTGCTGTCAGGAGGCTTCAGAATGCCTTCAGCCTCCACTCCCCAGGGAGCGCCAGGTCCTCATCTGGGAGAGGACGTGCTGTATCTCCTTGTGGGTGCGGTGCCACAAGACTCTTTTCCTGCACCCTCACCACAGAAGTAGCTGTCTGGGCGGTCAGTAGAAAAAAGAAAATTTTCAAACCTGACTGTTTAAAAATGGAACTCCAGCTTCTTATCACCTAATTGTTGGAGGAGGGTGTGAACAGCAAAGGGAACAGGTTCTGTCATCCATGGAGTGGAGGGTTTGGAGGAAAGGGCTGAGAGGTCAAGGTTGTCTGGTGCTACCTATCATTGAACTTGAGCCCAAACCTGGGTGTATCTAGAGTGACTTCCAATCCTGGAGCTAGCTGGAATCCAGGAAGTGACATCTGGAAGCAGCCCTGGACACCTCTAAACTCACCATTTACATATAGGGACCCCCAGGCCCAGAGTGGAAGGGACTTGCATCCACTGGAACATTCCTTCCCCAAATGGCTCATCTCCCTGCTTTTATTCAGCATTTAGCCTGTGCTTGCCCAAGGCAGGATTTTTGGACATGAGCACATAGAAACTATGACCTGGTAATAAGTAATGGGTGGTTTCTTCAGAGGCTACTGTATTTACAAGACAGAGTTTCGTGATCAAACAGATGGTTACTGTGGGGTGTGATGGTTCAGAGAGGTTTTTAAGCAACAAAAGGACTTGCTAATGTCCCTTAAGTTGCCCTGACGAATGGCTAGCTCTGCCTTTGTAGCTGTCTGGGGAGCATTATAACAAGAATCATGGGAGACAGTGTTAGCTGGGCTTCATGCAAAAGACTCTGGTGCACCCTCCTCCTCTTGCCCTGACAAGAGCCGGCTCAGGTGGCAGCAGGTGGTGACAGGTGTTGTGTTTTGGGGTGGGGGTTGTTCCTGGCTTCACAGAAGGGACAGCTTCCCAGTGCCCTCTGCCTCTTCTTGGTGTCACAGCTCAGAGGAAGGAATGTTCAGGAGGGTAGGTAGGAACAGTTGATCCTGGTGGGAGATCTTGGTGGTGGGAGTGGGAAGGATCTCCCCAAACCACCAAGTGAAAGTAGAAACCCAGGGGTGGGAAGTCTCCGAACTATGGATTAACGGAAACATACTCTTCCACAGTAGTTTTGTGACCTACTGATGGTAGCGGCTTCCGAAAGAAAGAATTCTCCCTTGCCCCGAACGCATCCCTCCCCAGGTGTCTTAGAAGTTACTTTTTCTCCTCCACCTCAACCCCTACGCCCTGACTCTCCTCCCACTGCCTAAGGGGCCCTGGATGCCTCAGTAGTCATCTCTGGATCTCTTTCTTCCTCCCTAGATTGGGGATCGCCCACAGGGTGCCTGGGAGAACAGAAAAGAAAGCAGATGCCAGTTCTTTACACTTTTCTCTGCACAGATTATACATACCCGAAGCCGTGTTTTGCTGTGTGGAAAGGGTACAGAATTAAAGGGTCCAAGCAGGAGCTGGCCACTCTGGGAGGCTTTTTTTTTCCTCTAAATTATGGACTATCACAACTCAACAAAAGATAAACCACCCAGTTCAGAAAATGGGCAAAGGACTTGAATAGACATTTCTCCAAAGACATACAAATGGCAAATAAGCACATGGAAAGATGCTCAACATCATTAATCATAAGGAAAGTGACATCAAAACCACAATGAGTGACTTCACATGAAATTAGGACCACTGTTAACAGAAAACTGGAAAATTAACAAGTGCTGGCCTAGATGTGGAAACATTGGGACCCTCAGGCATTGCTGGAAGGAATGTAAATTGGTTCAACTGCCATGAAAAACAGTTTGGTAATTCCTCAAAAAAAAAATTACCTCATGATCCAACAATTCCAAACCTAGGTTTATAATCTAAAGAATTGAATGCAGGGACCTGAATAGGTATATGAATATTCATGTTCAAAGGAGCACCACCCACAATAACCAACAGGTGGAAACAGCCCAAATTTCCCATCAACGGATGATGGATAAACAAATTATGATAGTCAATGCAGCAGAACATTATTCAGCCTTAGAAAGAATGAAGTACTGACACAGACTACGAAGTTGATAAACCTTGAAAACACTATGCTATGTAAAAGCAGCCAGACACAAAAGGTCTCACTGTATGATTCCATTTATATGAAATGTCCAGATTAGGTAAATCTATAGTTACTGAACACCAACTACTGGTTTACCAGTGGCTGAGAGGGCAATGGGGAGAGGCTTAATGGGCACAGGGTTTCCTTTTGGGCTGATGACAATGTTATGGACTTAGATAGCGGTGGTGGTCGCACAACATCATGAATGTATTCAGTGCCACTGAACTGTTCAATTTAAAATAGTTTTCTATTATGCCAATTTCACTTCCATTTCTTAAAAATTAAGAACTATTTCAAACATTACAGAAAATTATGTAATACTTTAATGAGTATTCCCATAATGATCACTCAAATTTGTCAAATCTTAATGTCTTGCCTTAGTTACTTTCAGTGTTAAGGAAACAGAGCTTTTCAGATGACACTAAGCCCCCTGGATATTCTACGATCTTCCTTTCCTCCCTCCAGCCACAGGACAACTCCTGGGCTGAATGTGTTAGACCTTTACCGCACACCTACCTGTCTATGACCACACATGGCGGGGTTTTATATGTTTCCTGACTCTATGATAGTAGTATCACCTGTACACATCCTTCTGCAACATGCTTTTCATGCCACTTTGTTCTGAGGTTTATATATTCTGATGCTCTTTATTCATCTTCTGTTGACGGACATTTGGGTGATTTCCAATTTGTTGCTTTTCGATACTGCAGACAGCATTGCGAAAGAACATTCTTGTATTTGCCCCTTGACTTGTATGTTGGGAACCTCTTGTGGGAAAATAGAGAGATCTGACTGGCTGGGTCATAGGGAATGCACGTCTTCATTTTCCCAGATGTTACCACACTGCTGTCCAAAAGGGTTATTCCAACTTACCCAGCCAGGAGCAGAGTTACTGGGAAGCTGATGAAGCTTAATTAAGCTCAGGAACACCACCCCACCTGCTCAGGTCCCTTCCAAGACTCTGACTCACTCTGCAGACTTTTATGAAGGTCCCCATACTGCGTAAGCTTCAAGCTAAACTTCCTCAACTCCCATCAGCAGCATATGAAAGTCCTCACTGTTCTTCACGCTTGCCATACTCGGTAAAGTCAGACACTTTTGCTAGCCCAGTGGGTGTGAAATGCTTAATTATTTTTTAAATCTGTGGTCCGGCGAGTTGTTGATTACTCAGTCCATATTCCATGTCTGACCCCCAAATAACCTGGGAGGTGCGGGTGTCAAACTTTCAGCCCCCGGGGCCAATAGGGTGGAGCTCCACTCTGTTCCTGAGACAAGAAAAAAACTGCCCACAGAGTAGGGAGGGATGTAGCCCTGGCCCTGCACCCCTACCCCCAAGCTCCTGCTCTCTGAAGGCTGTAGAGTCCTCACAGGAAGGGGAAGGTAGGCCCAACCAGGTGGTGTGGCCCTGCCTCTCTAAGCCACACAGGCCATGCTGCTGTTGCAGGCAGAGGGGTCACAGGTGTACCCTCACTACACCTGTGGAAAGTCCAATGTCTCCTCTCCCCAAACAACTCCATCCGGAGCTCTGTTTCTAGCCTGTCCTCCCATCCCTACCCAAGAGGGGATTTTTCCTTTTAGAGCCAAGGCTCTTGTTCCCCTTCCTCCTCCTCCCTCCAAGCCAGAGGCTTCAGAACACTTGGGACATGTTCACAGAACAGGATGCTAACATAGGATGTTTTTCTTCTCAGCTCTGGCCAGGACCCCAGAGGAAACTTCTCTCACAAAGTGCTGGGAGAGACACCTTCCGCTTTCAAAACAAAGTGAAGAGAATGCCTGAAAACGGGTTATGTAATAATTTTTAACCCAACTCCCTCCTCCCTAGCCTGTTTGAGGTGGACCTGCTGACAGAATGGCTGGCAATTAAGAGAGCACATTTCTCTCGAAAGTGTGTGCTAGGGGTGCCATTCATGTCTCCAGAGGCAGCACTGGCCTCCCCGCCTACTCACCTCAGACAGGTCAGCTGGTGAGAGGCAAAGCTTGCGGTGTGCACTTTTGGGGGCAGGGAGAGGGGAGAGCCACCTGGTGTAGGTTGACAGTTTTGATTCTTACAATGAATCAAAGTTAAGTTACCTAGTAGCTACTCAAATGAGACCGTTTCTTGGACCCATAGTGACTGAGGCCTTTGTATTATTTGAAGGTGACCAGGAAAGTGCTGGGACCTGCCCGCGATCTTCACTTGTCTGGGAAGGAGCAGCAGCACAGTCGGAACTGGGCAGTGGGCGTGGGGCAGGGGCTGGATGGCAGCGCAGCTTTCTGATGGGCGGTTCACATTCTGGCTACACTGGGAAGGCAGCCTGACGACTCCTAGGAGACAAGGGGTGCAGAACCACAGAAACCTAGTTTTTCAGAGTTGGGGGAAAGCTAAGGCTCTGGGAGGAGGAGCAGCTCGGAGAGAGAAGGCAGCCTGCCTGGCAACTCGAGCTCCAGGGTGGCACTTCTTGCAGTTAGTGGATCTTACTGTTCTAGGTTCCTGCGTTCACCGAACACCCATAATGAACTGCCCACAGCAGAAGGGATCATGCTGCCCATCTGGCAGCCCTGGGCAAGGCCTGGTTCCCTCTTGTTCCCTCAAGGAGTGAAGAAACAGCTCAGAGCCACTGGGGAGCTCACACCCTCCTAGGCCTTATTGTCAAAAACACACCCTAAAGGTTCTGAGTCACTAGGTCCTGGATGGGCCCCAAAATCTGCATTTGATAAGCACTGCATCGATTCAACTAGGTCTGGAGTGGTCACTGGGAGGCCAGGCCAGCCCCCTCCTCAACATTTAATGAGGGAACGGGATATTGGAGACAGTTTTCAGTGAGAGGCTGGGGCAGGGAGCCAGGTGCTCTGAGGTTCTCCCCCGTTCAGGGCAAGCACCCTCTCTGCTCCTGGGGAAATTTCCCTGCTGCCCCAGCCATGTACCTGTCCTACAGTCACCGGAGAGCAGGGGCTGGCCCTGCTGGTTGGTGCAGGACAGTGACTAAGCCTGGCTTCCCTGGCTGTGTCCACTGCCTGCTAGCCCTGCGTCTCTTCTCATGTCACAGGCCCCTCCTTGGAGCTGCTTCGAAGGTTTTCTCCTTGCCTATTCTCTAGAGGGAGGGGAAGAATTATAGGCAGAGGTCTCTTAGGGGTTTGTCCTCAGAGTTGAGAAGTGACTTTTCCAGTTTTTCAAGAACCTGAGGCCTGATTTAATCAGGAGTCACTGACTTCGACAGTTCTCTGGAAACTGCTAAGTGTGATGACGGGGCTCAGCTCCAGCATTCTCATGCGAATGTTGTTGCAACCAAGGTATGTTGAAAAAGATGGCTTTTAAACTTTCCACAAGTCACCCTCAACTCAACGCAGATTCCTCCCCACCCCCATGTCCAAGAATTTTCAGGAAAGAGTAGGAGGATTTCAGATGCCACTGCAGGGCACAGCTCACACTCAGGTCAGGCCAGGGACAGAGGCTGGCTATCTGCACCCACACCCTCAGGCTGCCAGAGAGAGCTGGGGAGCGAGTTGTGCTGCCTGCCAGCCTAGGCCAGTTCTGCACAACCTTAGGAATGGCTTGGCTTTACTCTGGACTCAGGACACATTCTGAGGGAAGGGCTGGTAGCAGAGACTGGGCCAGGTGGGATGGGGACAGCCAATCTGGACCTGGGTGGGGCCTGGGGGCTGACTCCTCCTGGATTCAGCACTGAGCCCTGGCTTCCACCTCTGACAAAAGCCCAGCTGGGCTTCCTCCTGGGCTTTCAAGTATGGGTCCCTGGACCAGAAGCCACCAGGGGGAGGTGCTGATGAGATGCTCCAGAGGGTGTTCTCTTTGGATGCTGATGGGTGTGAGGAAGGCAGGTCAATGGCACCCCTGGTCACTGAAGCACTAAGCCTTGGGGAGATGTGGGCCAACTCTTTGCAGGTACAAGATTGTTCCTGAGAGCGTGGAGTGGGGACCTGGTACTCTCCACATTGTGGGGTTCCAACTTGCCTTCTGCATTCTGGTGGGAAGGTCTGGCTACTGGTAGCTTCTGGTAGCTTCTGGATGGGCACACTCAGCTCAGGCTCTCTGTCCCTC